TATACCTTCGAGATAACACTGCAATAAATCTTGATAAGCCGAGCAATCTTACTGGTTTAGGGTTATTTTGAAATTCCATAACACTGCAATAAATCTTGATAAGCCGAGCAATCTTACTGGTTTAGGGTTATTTTGAAATTCCATAACACTGCAATAAATCTTGATAAGCCGAGCATTCTTGTTGAATAATTGGCTTAGGTTTAGTTTTTCCGAAATTTCGAAATATGTTATCCGATTTTTGAAGGCAACATACATTTTTGCAGTTAACAGCATATTTGGATGGTTCGGCGGTTTATGGTTCGACAGAATGTGAAGCCAAAGAATTACGCACTTTTGTCGGTGGACGTCTTAACAGTACTAATCTTGGCTTTTTCAATTCGTAATTTTTTCTTTTTTTAATTTATGACATTTCAATTAAAATAATTTGCCATAATTAATTGATTAATTTAAATTTAACATTGATGAAATATTATCAATTACAGTGAAGCATTACCACAAGGTGATCAAGAACAAGATTGTCGTTCCACACCAGAATTCATGTGTTTTGTTGCCGGTGATGAGCGCAATAGTCATCAACCTGGTCTTACATCAATGCATAACATATTTTTGCGCGAGCATAATCGAATTGCTCAAAAATTAGAACAAATGAATCCATTTTGGGATGATGAGCGTATTTATCAAGTAAATAGCTTCTTTTTCTTTTTTTTTCTCTCTAAAATTATGCTAATGAAGAAATTGATTAATCAAATTAATGAATATCATTCATTTTTCAGGAAACAAGACGAATTGTAAGTGCAGAATTTGCGCATATAGCTTATAATGAATATCTTCCATTATTATTAGGTAATCGATTGATGCGCAAATATGATTTGAATACTCTTAAAATTGGTTACTATCATGGTAAGTTACTCAAGTGATACAGTGATACAAATGGATAGTGTAAATTTTTTTGGTTTTAATACGTGTTGTACAATGACCACAATTGGTTATCATTATCATATTAAGGAAAACTAACAGTCAGCATCGAAAGCTTTCATCTTTTGTCTAATTAAACTCACAGCTCCAAAACTAGCATCGGTTTACTGTAATTTCATGAAATTTGAATTCCATTTAAACGAAATTCCGGATTTTTCCATACGAAAACTTACTTCTGGCTTATATTTTCATTATCTTCTTCCTTTAATTTATTAATTATATTTAGGAAATAAGTTTATTATTATGCAATAATGATTGGTCAATGAAAAAGGCAGGTAAAATATTGATCTTTTTTTTGACTTTATTTTATATAACGATCATTGTTATAGGTTACGATGACAAATGTGATGCATCAATATCTCATCCCTTTTCAACATCTGCATTTCGTTTTGGTCACACTCTTGTACGACGGTTCTTTTCACGTTTTGATGCTTCTTATAATAATTTCACTGAACCGGTTGATCTAGTTGAAAATTTCAATTCTGTTGAAGCAATTTATGATGGCAAACGAGGTATATTAATTAAAATAATTGTCTGATATCTGTATAATCAATTTTGTGATAACCTTATCATTTAACTATCCCATGTTAGCCAATAAAATATGTTAATAAAGTGTGACACAGTGGCGCAAAATGCTTTCATACCAATAGAAAGTAATTATGAATTAAACTATCTCATCGTATTTTGAAAACTAATTAAAATTTCATTTTACTTATGCTTGAAATTTTGATCATTTTGTGGAATAGTTATACTATGGTTATAGTTGTATGTGGAAGAATTAATTGTGATTAATTATTATTGCTAAATCATTTGAGTGATATCTTAAAGGTAGTATTGATTCATTAATTCTTGGCTTACTTGGCACACCATCAATGGCATTTGATCGGCATATTACTACTGCATTACGGAATCATTTATTTGGCCGACGAGGTGAACCACTTTCTGGAATGGATCTTATTAGTCTGAATATATTAAGAGCACGTGATCACGGAGTACAACCTTATAATGCTTTCCGGTATTGAAATTTTTCAACCTTATCATGTTTTCCGGTACTGATACTTTTCAATCGTATAATGCTTTTTGGTACTGATACCTTTCAATTTTACAACACCTTCTGGTACTGATACTTTTCAACCTTACAATGCTTTCCGGTGCTGATAATTTTTGATAATATCATGCTTTCTGGTACTGATACTTTTCAACTTTGTAACGCCTTCCAGTGTTAATACTTTTCATCTTCCTTATACATCCCATTTTATAAATGAAAACTAATCCAAATATTGGAAATTATTCATTGGAAATAAAAATAGAAATGTTCAAAATAAGTTATGATAATATTTTCTCAATTTGCTTAAAATTTGAAAAAATATGGTCAATAATTAATCAATTATCATTTCTTATTAATAAATCAATCAATTATCATTTTCGTTCCTCGTAATTCAGTTGGTTCTCAAATTCGATTGCCAAAATCCGATTTCAGAGAAACTTTGAGATTTTAAGCTAATGAGAAATACTCAAAATTGCATTAGCTAATACGAATTAGCATACTTTCATTATTGTTATTTTTTCCATCCAATATTATTTTATTTCTCCTATACGATTTTTGTTATCATAAATTATGATCATAGAGTACAACCTTTTTTCTTCGAAATTTAAAATTATTTCTTCAAAATTAAGCTTTTAAATTATTTCTTTGTTTAATTTAAGAGAATTATGCGGTATTGGTGCGGCGAAAAATTTCACCGATCTGTTAAATGAAATGGATGAAACAGTTGTGGCAGAATTAAAAAATTTATACAAAACAGTTAATGATATTGATTTATTTCCTGGATTACTAAGTGAAAAACCTATGAAAGGTAAATTGATGATGAAGAGAAAGATAAAAAGAAAAAAGTCAAATTTATGATTTTATAAAAAAAAAATAAAGTGAAACAAATAACAATCTTATTGAGAAATATTTCTTCCTTTTGGTGAAAAAATTTTTGCGAACTTTTCATGTAATTAAGTTAAACAAAAGAAAACTTTCATAATTTTTTTTTAATTGAACATTAAAATTATAGAACATTAAAGATATATTATTTAAATATATTTTCAAATGATTAAACTTTTTCCCTTACAAAATGAAATACATTTCATCGTTTATTTTATAAACCCTTTAGATGCTCTTTTACCACCAACAATGGCATGTATTATTGCTGAACAATTTCATCGTTTAAAAAAATGTGATCGATTTTATTACGAGAATGATTTGCGTGCAACAAGCTTTTCACCGAGTAAATAAAATTTTAATTTATGGCTTTTCTTATTTTTTTTAAAATATTTTAAATCATATTAAAAATCTAAAAAAAAGAACAAAAAAAGTTATTATTGAATTTATTTGTTGATAAGTATTTTCTATTACGACGAGGATTGATAATTACTAAAATAATTCATTTATGTTGAGATATCAGAATTAATTTGAAATTTGCTGGAAAATTATTTATATTAAAAATTTCAGGAAATAATTTAGATCAAAAGTGTTGGGAAATAATTTAGATCAAAGGATTCTTTTTTGAGGCACTTCAATTAAAACGCACAATAGAATGTCCTGAAATCCTTAATCTAGCTGTTCATTGTAGTATTTTCTATCAAAAAGACAGAGAAATTGCTGAATATTTTTTGCACTGAATTAAATCAAATTAAATTTTAACGAACTGCTTAATTATTCAAATTTCAGGACAACTTAATGAAATTCGGAAAGTTACGCTAGCGTCACTTTTATGTACCAATAGTCGAATATTAAGAAATATACAGCCGAATGTGTTTTTACTACCTGATAAATTCATGTAATTTTACTTTTTGAATTTTATAAGTTTTTCAAATTAAGATTCCTAATTTGTAAGTTTATAATGTTGCTAATTTGAATTATTAAATTATAATCTTCCTGAAACTTGACTTAAAAGCAACATTTACAAGATTCTATACCTCTGCTAGTTGTTGCAAGTAAGCCGAAAAAAAAATGTAGTAAGTTATCATCAAGTTAATTAGATCAATTAATAGGATTACAAACATCAATATCATGAACTTTGTTGGTGTTGATAAATGTCTAAAAATAAGTTTACAAATGTTCACTCGTGTAACATCAAATAATGCATGACGAATAAACTGCCGGATAATTTAATTATTAATTGCAGTTGACACGATCTTTTCATTTTATTTATCATAACAACATAGATGATCTTTAACATTAGCCAGTTAAGTAAGTAAATAAATTAGTTAGTTACAATAAATCATAAGTTAATTATTGGTTACTTAGTCATAATTTAATTACTAGTTAGTTAGTGAATTGTTACATTATCAAACCTGACATAAAGAGATGAATTCTAGGAATACTCCAATTTCATGCGCGCATTTTGAACATATCAATTTGGAGCAGTGGATCGATCGGCGTTAGTTTTATTTCACATTACAGTTCATTGGAAATAATTGTTAATTATAGCTAACTAATTATACACGCATTATAATTCATTTAGGTAATTAATTAGTTGTAGCTAATCAATTGCACAATTCTTCAGAAATGTACCATTATTATTAGTTTGGTTATCCCTTTCTTTTTTATTTTTTATTTTTTTTGTTTCGTTACTCTTCTATATATGTGTTTTATTGTTGTTGAAATTTCTTTGATAAAATGAAGAAAAATTAAATTTGCATAGAAAAAAGAGAGTGTAATAATGTAATTTATCACTCACTATTATATTGGTATAATTTAACTCATTAATTTTCAGCTCATTGTTATATTGGTAATATAGTAATTGCACCTGATGAGACAAAACGTATATCACCTTGTCAATTTTGTACATGTACAACTAAAGGGGTATATAATTGATATAACAAGAACTTCCGAAAAAAAAAAGAAAAATAAAAAAATATGAAATTTTGCTATTCATCTAAAATTTTTTATAATAATTTATTTCCTAATACCACTTCATTGTAAAATAATATTTCGTGTTAATATTTTATATGAAAAAAAAATCTGAAATTAAATTTATTTCAGTCTCAATGTGATACGGTAACAATTAGGAATTGTATAGCTCTATTTAGTCAGTATCCATTTGATGAAATCATGAAGGTTTGTGTAAACGATAGTCAATACATTATTCAAATTAATTTAGCAAAAGTAAACATGAAATTTTATCATCCCACCATCTCTTTTTTTTTTCTAGCTAGCATTACTAAACTTCTATTTGTTCATATGCCACTCGAAAAGAAAGGAAATCGAATATTCTAATTCCAGGATATGGCTTGCGCTGTACAATGTGCTCACTTATTTTGGAAACCAAATTCAGTATGATTTGAAAGTTTTTCTTTTATCAGGTATCGAAAATGCCCCAGGAGTTAGAATAATTGTCCTTGTCGTCAGTTTGGTCATCGTTGTCACTACTCCCATTAATAATTAATTGTCATCAAGTGTCAACCGACAATCCTTGTCACCAGTTTCCGTTATCTCCAAACATTCATCCTCCCACACTCTATTACTGCTAAAAGTATTCCGGAAAATTTTCCCAGGATGTAGAAAAGCCGGACTGGCTTCGTTCAACATGTGTGCAAAAACAGTATCTGCTCATTCTGTTTACAACAAACGAGAATTGATTTAATTAAATATATAGTAGAACCAAGTAAGTCTTCTTGTGCATATTACAGTTGAACGTTGAACGAAAAGTTGAACGTTTAAAAAAAACGTTCAACTTTTCGAGTGAAACATTTGAAAAATTTTGTTCAATATGTTACACAAGATTTCTTCACAAGGTATTATTCCTTCATTACTCGGACAATGTCGTTTTCATGTTCCATACTTGTAGAAATACTTATCAGATAATATCTGGTGTTTAAGAATGTCACTGTTAGCAGCGCATGCTTATGAATGATGGGTACTACAAGTAAATATATACTATACCATGGAAGGTACTATAGAGTTTTTTTTTATTTTTTTTATCCTAATTATCACACTACTCGTTACACGTTTATGATGTTTAACCTCCTAACCAAATGGAACTCAACGTCCTGAAACACCGCACATGACATTGCAGTGCAAATTACTTGAAAAGATTCTGAAATGTTCCTTAATAAATGATAATTTATTCGTTAGATATACAACAAGAATGTAACTTTGAATGCAGTTTTCAAGAATGCAGCTCTACCTGATGAAGTACGAAAGAAATATTGAAAGAATACTCTCCTTCATGAACCCCAAACGGATTAGATATTTCGCTGACTATACAACAAGATTTGCTTAAAAAATATTTTACATTTCACAATGCTTTGTTCCTCATATAGACAAAAAAACTAAGAAGCAAGATGCAGCAATCGAAAAGCTAAGCCATATACGTGACAACAATTTAAAACGAACAAATTAGTTAACAAAATAGCTAACACCACTAAAACTGTCTTACTGCATAATAAGCTAGCAGTAGAATATAATGACTTCTTTTCCTTTGCTACTTATTGACCTCCTAGAGCAGCGTTAGATGCATTCTTGATTTCCTTCTCCATGCCTTCCGTCTCAGACTGACTTGCATCCGTGGTAGCCGTTGAGCGACGACGTGTTGCGCCATCTAAACTACCATTTAACTATCAACTAGCTTTTGCTTATAACCAAACCTCACATGAAATATATTCTACTGCCTACTGTCATCCACAATAACACATGAATTGGAATTCATAAAGGAAAAAACAAAACTATAGGAACAAAAACTAAGAACAAGTGCAACAGTTTGCTTCAAAATTTGTAATTTAAAAACTACTCTTGCGTGTTGAGCGACGAGCATCTCCACGGCCTTCACTATGAGTACCATTGCATATATCACTGTGATTGCTTTCCTTCTTCGAATCCCCACCACCATCTTCGCCTTCACCACGATCTCTACCACTATTAACCGATTTCTTTGCAGCAGTTGGCAGACGACGAGCTGCAAAAGGAAAAAGGAAAAAAAAATGAATCTAATAAAGAAACGAAATCAGCACTCAAACAAGAATAACAAAATCTGCTTAGAGAATGAAACAGTATTCAAGAGTTATTTATATGCAGTTTGCGTGCTGAAAAGTCAGTTTAATGTTAATTACAAAATTCCAAAAACACGGTCAAAATTAACGACCTCTGAAATTACGAATACGTCGCCGACGTTCAATATTCGGCTTCTTTATGTCTGCATTATCATCCTCTTGCTTTTCATTTGGTTTGCGGTCCTGCCCATCACGTCGATCTGAATGGATAGATTCAATCGAAAACCGAATGTTACTACTTTTTTCTCTACCAGTACATATCACAGTAACACTATTGCTGAAAACTTGGACATTGCATGATAACTAAGAATATCGAAGCAATAACTGGCTTTGTTGGCCCATCGTCGAAGTAAGTCCACAAGAGTAGATTATGTAAAAGGTAACACACATTTCTCATTTTCTTGATGAGCTGATCGTTCGCGATTGTATGCCATGCGATGACGAAAACTGGAGAACTGAAAATTGTGGTATTTGCTACCACGAACCTAAAGTATAAACCACATTACTGTCATGTGCCTGTCACGAAGAACTTGAAATAAAAGTACTATATAGTATCACAAATTTGAAACGAGACAACTTTAATATATTATGACTTAAATCACAGCAATGTATGATTATCACCGTGTCATACTGTTGAACGATAAATCATTTAAGCAATACCTCAGCACCATTTGGTCCGGTAACATTGGCGGCTTCAGGTCCTTGCTTTCCTTCAACAATGTCGAAAAGGACTTCTTCACCATCGCCTAGAGTACGCAGATAATACTTAATGATTCGCGACTTTGTTATAGCTGTCTGAAATGCTAAATCGCATTAATTCTTATTTATGCTTCAGTAGTTTTCAAATATTCATTAACCATGAAATTATTATTACTCACGATAAGCATATAAACGAAGGCAATTTTAGAATATCCAAACCTTAACTGCAACGCAGTTCTGAAAAGCTGGCTGTGATTCTTCCAATTAGCCCATAAACATACCTGATGCACGAAAACATCGTTTCCTTTATCATCACGTGCGATAAAACCGTAATGGAAACGGACACTGTACCACTTGACTCTACCCTTTACTCCTATCAAATAATTTTTTTTATCAAATCCCAATAGAATGAAGATCGAATATTGGCATACGTCTAGTATAATACTCTGGTAGCTTTGAAATGTTGACAAAATTATCACCACTCTTAATAAGCGCACGATGAGAGATTACATCACCTCCTTTTGTACCTTAGAAAAAAAAAAACAAAAAACTGCACACGAACGACACTTTAGTTAGCTACTAATTTACCCTTTTCAAGAATAGGCTTTTTCTTCTGTTCTATTTCCCAGGCAATACGGCGTTCCTCATCGTTAATGCGCAAACGACGCGATCCTTTAACATTGTTGTTTCGCCCCTTGAAAATTAAAGCACTATATTTTTAACGTTAGACAAGGAAACGATCTGGCAAAATAACTTAGATTCTAATGAAATGTACTGACGTAAAGAATTTGAAAATATATTGCCGGAAATTCGAGGTCAAAAAAAAGATTCGAACTATGAAAAGCACTATGCGGATACAGGTTCAAAGGAATCGGTAAAATGAGACCAGAATTTTCAGCAGAATTTTTCAACCAAAATATCCCGTACATATATGGTATGCAAGAATAAGGAAACTATTTCCGCACTAATAGGCTACGTCCGAACTACTACAACAAATAGTAGATCCATTAACAGTAACGTAGGATAAAGACTATGATTACTTTGCCGATGTTTTTGACATCCTGAATGTTACCATTCGTGTCGATATTTTCCTTCTTAAAGTCCACCTACAAAAATACCAGACTTTCATTAATAGAATTTAACCTTGAAAAAAGCCAAAATCTATTCTGTGCTGATCTTTTAGAATAATTATCAACTTACAGGTGTCAAGAATGATGCCAAGAAAATAACAAACAAATTGGTGATGGTGGAAGAACTACAAAAGAATTTATCCAAGAAACTCGTCAATGGGGATATTTACACCTTTTGGCGCATAATCTGCGAGCAATAAAAAATTTTCTGCACAACAGTCAAGTGGAGCACTGATCAAATAATAAATGTTTGTTCAGTACTCTAAGCACTCAATTGCTCACATAAAAATTTACTTTTACAATTATGCCAAACATCCATTTCAGTATTTAACTTTCTCCTCTCATTCCAATTAGGAGATACTCTGAAATGACCACTTTGAAAAATAGTAAAAGAAACCTCCTCTTCAGTAGCCACATGGGCTAACAGTACTGGGACACCGCTCGACATATTGGTTCGTTTGACAAGTCAAATCGCCTGACTTATACTGGATTCGAAGCCGCTATAATTTTAAACTGTAGCTGTATTTATAAGAATATCTTTTACAATACTCTGACGTACTTCGACAAAGTTCGAATTCTTGTTTGCTCAAAGGACTTTGACAAGTTAATGTTCCCCGCCCTTTTTTTTTCGGTCGTTGTAAATTTAATCGCAAGTTTACGCTAAATTCAGGCACTTACGCAAGCAGCCACACAACTTGCACTTAAGTTTAGCAAGACTTTAAGTTGCTAGTTCTAAAGAGGCGGACTTCATGATATGTTGGTTCTACGACAGAGTGAGGCAAAAGTTCGGGAACATTCTCTCCGACCGATTTACCACCAGCAAATCCGTTTTCTTCCAATAGAATTGCGATTTCATATCAGAATATCCCTTCATATTATGCAGATTTGCAAAGAAAAATTTATATTTTTAAAGAAATTAATTAACAGATTAGAAACCTGATTTCCTAATCTGATTAACAGATTAGAAACTCGGATCATCCGGATAACAACCTGAGAAAAAATTATGTCTAAGGAACGTGCTGGAAGGTGAAGGAGAAAAAAAAATAATGGAAAATAAGATTTTTCAGAATAGTATAGTAATCAAAAGAGGAAGTATTTCTAGAATGTATATGACACAGTGGTCATAACAAAATTGTTAATGTGATAAGATTTAATGCAAATTACATTTTCATAAAATTCCGAACTCTTGAACTAAAAAACATGAAATTTCGAATTTTTGAAGCACAAATGAACTAATTTTCACCTATCATATGCGTACAATTTCTTTAACAAGGAAAAAGAAAAACAAAAAACATTTCCATATCGTGAACATTGCATGGTTCTGACAACAACATTCCTCATACATATATGTCGTCATACAGCTTTAATATGCGAATAAGTCACCACAAATGATCCTGCTCCAATACTCTATATATATTAAAAAAATAACAAGTATGGATGCACTTTATATTGTACGAGAATGAACGTTTTAACGTGTATACGTGCATGTATACGTCTTAGGCTCTTATACCTTATATTTGATGCATGTGGACATCTTCGCATAACAGTAAAACCGACGACACGTACGTGACCCTCACCTACCCAAACCTCACCAAAGCCAACCTCAAGCAATGAGCACACAATGAACAATGGTACAGATTATGATTGTGAATTGTACCTAAAAAATATGCTACCGTAAGCTATGAAAAAGCCATTCCAAATTTGGATAAAGTATTCAGAATATCCTGGGAATTCAAATTTTGTAAGTTTTTTTATGCAAAATCCATTCTGACATTGCTTGTATTTCGAAAAGAGGCAAATCCGGAATGCTTCAAATATCAAAGATGGATAATCCGGAATGTTTTAAGTATCAAGAATGACAACCGGGAATATTTCAAATGTGTAAAGTGATCCGGAATGTTCCAAATATCAAGAGTAGATAATCTGGAATATTTCATATATCGAGGGTAGATAATCCGGAATGTCCTGAATATTAATAATAAATAATCGGAATGTTTAACTTACACAGTATAAATATTTTCTTCCAACACATGAGAGGCAAATTTTCAGCTTCAGCTAATTTTGGACATACCTGTGGATTATTGATATTTTTTAATATTTACAGTTAAATTAGGTAGGTTCGTGTACGTGCATGCAAAAGAAGCTAATCCGGTAAATGCTTAAATAGGGAATAGTTATTTTAATAGAAGCTAATCCGGTAAATGCTTAAATAGGGAATAGTTAATTTAATATTATCCATTTGCTTCAGTACAGAACAATTATTACTAATTCCGGAATGTACACAGAATTACTCATTCTATTTAAAGTAAAATTATTTCAATACATTTTTAATTCATTAAAGTGATTTTCAATTCAATTTTATTTTCACTGTTAATTTTTTTTTCAAAGTCGATTCATATTTTTAAAGTTTTAATACGCATTTTAAGGAAATGAAAACATGCTGTCATTTATTCAGCTAATTGAATTGAAGTGTTCTGTAAGTAAAATTAACCTGAAGCATAACTATGACATACAGGATGACCGCATAATTCTAATTCAACTTTTTCTTTAAAAAAATTAAAAAGCTGAATTCGAAATATTTATTCTTCTACTATGATAAGTTTAAAATTAATGAACATGTAGGAGACTTTAATAATGAATATTATAAAGTTTAAACAATTATAAAGCAAGTTTTAAGAACAAATTTCTTTTTAAACGATACTTTAATTTTTATAAAATATTCTTCATTGAACAATAGTCATGAAAATCTTTTGAATTTCCAAGCAATACCTTTCTTTTTTTTTCAGGTATAATCAAATTCAATAATTAAATCAGAAAAGGTGAAAATACAAGAAAGTATTATATTGTCCAAACAAATGTTTAAAATATAATTACACCATTTGCATATAAATATAAATATCGCCGTTTTTTTCTGACTTAATTATTATTTCCTAACAAATTTATATGCAACAAACGTTTGCTTATTTAAACGTGAGAAAAGTGATTTAATTATATTGCTATGCTTATTTAAGTGTGAGAAAATTATCATGAGAATTTGAGATGTTTGATAAATTTCATTTCAGAAAACGTCACGTCTGATTTGCATTCATCATAAATAAAGGTGATATGTCAAGCACGATTCACGTTTTTACGTGATAAGTATAAACTGTAAACTGTAAAAGTGTTATCCATTCGATATGTAATTGTATTTTCAGGATGGTTTTTATGTGCGTATACGAATGATTATGAATTGTGGTAAATGTTGGATAAAGTGGGATGAATATAACAAGAGCAGAAATAATGATGGATGATAAATGAGAAAAGGAAAGAGTGAAGTTTGTCTATTCCTCATCCAACAACCACATCCATTCATTATCTTATCTTCTATTTCTTCATCTTATCAAACAACTGCTATGCATCATAGTGATAAAACCTCATTTTAACATTTTTCTGCATTTTATATCCAATAAACTTTAACAAGCAGGTTGATGCAGTAGGACATTCAATAATCAGAATTATTTTTAGATGAGAAAAGAAAAGATACAGATAGTTATAAGGTTTGTTATCTTAATTAGATTAGAGATATAACGTATGTTAGGTACATCGTAATTAAAGATAGTTTTATTAGATATATGTTTATTTCAGATATATATTAGAGATATGTTTATTTCAGGTTTACATTCATAAATTCGAATACTTCCAAATATAAGAAATAATGCAATGGCTATTTTATTATTTCCTGCTAGTCTCATCTGTTATGGGCGACAATTGTCGGCGGAAATTATACGAAGCAAAAGAAGAGAAAACACCGGGTAATAGTGGCTTTGTGATTGAAATATCAAGCGCTACAAATACATCTGATAATAATCCGGAAGGTTATACACCAGGTGATAGTTATATCGGTAAGTTTTGAGTAATTCAAGATATTTCTAAACATTAAATGATTTATTAAGTAAATGAGAAATCAGATGTAAATTTATTAAGCTTGTAAGATATAAATTTATTTTAGATATGCCAAATTCATTTCTCGTATTATTCTATTCAACGAGAAATAAATTACCAATAAATGAATCATTTTGTATGAGCAATTTTAATCTTAAACGTTGAATTATGATGTAGAAATGATATATCGATGTAATCTTTGACGTACATTACATCATTTAAGATTAAAATTGATATATATATATATATATATATATATATATATATATATATATATATA